TGATAGGGCTTGGAAACCTCTCAGGCAAAAGGAAATCCTTCCTCCCCACCCGGAGGCTCAGCCCTGGTGCTGCAGAACAGCACGTCCCAGGGGAGCACAGTGCCATGCTCCTCCAGCACTTGGCCGGCTGCCTCCGTTGATGCTCTCAGGTAGGAAGAGCTGCATTTCGGAGTGCTTTTCTCACTCCCCTCCCCTGCCAGCTTGGCACAGCTCCCTTTGGGCAGGAGAACGCCGTGGATGTGAGAGCCATTGGTTGTGCAATGTGACATTACTGCGCGGCGCAGCATCCTGCCCAGAGAGCAGCACACTGCCATTAATTGGAGGGAAAACAATCAGAGACCTGCTGCTCCTGGAGTTTGTTGAAAGCTCAGGAAGACGGGGAAATGTTGGTGTTTATGAGGCGGCAGCTGGTGCTCAGCTCTGGCAGGGGAGCGCGAGGAGGAGGAGGAGGGAAGCGGCTCTATTTGGGTTCAGAGCCTAATTGGCAAAACTGTAATAATTCTTAGATCAAATAGATGACATGCTCAGCCCACTTGCATTTTTAGGCTTCTGTGTGTAATAGCAAGTCATAACACTGGGGATTTTGTGAATAATCATTCCTGCTCGCCTCCCCTTCCAGGGAAGGATTTCCAACACGCTTCCCCAGAAAGCAAACGAATATTATCTTTACAGAGCACGATAAGACAGAGGAGACAAAGGTCTGAAACGACTTGGCTAGGTTTATTGGGTGATCCAATAGGATGCATGCCTGGGAATTAGGATTGTTGAACCCTCTGGCTGTGCCATGCAGAGGATGGGGTGTATATCTATTGCAGAGCATGTGCTGACAACGAGGCATCGAGGGGGCTCAGGACCGGGACCCCCGTGCTGCCCATGTCCAACCCCGCATGGTGACATCCTTGCACCAGTGGCTCTTTCCATGCAGTCATCAGGTGCTGATGGTGACAGCAGCAGATCCCTCACTTTTATGCACGGAGGAGTGTGTGTCAGAAGGAGTGGCAGCAGTAATATGTCCAGGAGCTGCTGTGGCTATTGAAATGGGGGATTATGAGCATAAAGGCTTGGCTGACTCACTAGACCTCATTAAAGTCTAATAATCTCTATAAAGATGCAGCGTTGGGCATCTGCAGCCCCAGCTCTGAGGAGCTGAAGCTCGGTGAGGATGCTAATAGCCGCTTGATAGTTTGGGCATGGAACTGTAAAATGTATTTATTTGTGTAGAGAAAGCACTTAGGATTCCCTCCGCCAGGCAGAGCCTCGGTGGTTGTATTCAGGAACAGAAGGGCCGGATTTGTCCTCTCGCACCTGTGGCTCAGCAGTAATTTTCTGTTTGCATTCAAATCCATTTTGGGAATACTTCTGTGTGTGTTTGCTTGGGAAGTCTGAGAATATCGGGGTGTATTTTCCAGTAGTTGCCCCATTATGAGTTCACCTAGATTTAGTATCCCCAGCCTAAGAACTTTCTAAAAGAAAACCTGAGCCAGAACGTGACCCGAGCATCAACTGGACATGGAGTAACTAAGGGGCTCTGCTACCAACTGTCGTGGGAACTCCTCCAAATATTGCCAAATTCTGGTGGCGTTCTGATAGTTTGGTCCTCCATCACCTTCACGCCTTTAAGGAAGTTCTCCCATGAAGTGGGACCCTGTGACCATAACTCTTGGTGGCTCATTAATTAGCACAGAGGATTTTATGAACCATCTTCCTCCTTGTTTGGTCCATGTGTCCGGCTGCTCTCTGCAAGAACCCTGAGCTGAGACAATTGATGCCTTGAAGCTGTCACAGCAGCAAGATGGATCCGGTGGTGCCATGCTGGCGGCGAATGGTGCCTTCCTGTGAGCTTTGTCCTTTCTGAAATCCTGCATTAACATATTATGAAGGTGATTGCTAGCAATGTGAGTCACAGGCCACTGCTGGTTTTTGGATGTGGTACATAGAGAATGGCAGAGAGACAACTTCTGATGGACTGGGAGATGGCACAAGGCAGAGAGAACTCAACCCGCGAAGAGTTGGATTTGAGGTTGATTGCTCCTAATTATTTTTCAAGATACAGGGCCAAATTAACGAAGGAGTGCTTGGACTGTAAGTGGAATTGTATTAACCAGTGTTTTGAGGAAGGTGGTGGAAGAGCCAGCACTGAAGTCTTGAAAGCTGGAGGTGATGGGAGCCCCTGGGTGGGCACTGGGTGCCTCAGCATCGCATCCTGATGCTGTCCTGCCTCATCCCATCCCAGCACTGGGCAGCCCTAATGAGTGCAATTAATGGCTGCTGATGAGCTTTGACGTTAGGGTGGCGTGTTCTGGGAAGATGGTTTTGAAATGTGCTGGAGCACAAGTTAACTTGTCTGGGAGAGTCACGAAACTTAAATTAGGAGGATTTTATAAGGAAGAGGAAGAAGTATTAACAAATTAAAGAGAACTAATTACTGGAGATGGAGAATGTTCGCTGTGTAGTTGTAGATGACAGCAGTTTGTGGTTCCCACTGGGACCCTTCCTGCTTTGGAGACAAAGGCATTGCCCATCCGCTGGGTTATCAGAGATGATAAGGAGCTGCATTTCATACACGGAGATGGGCTCTAATTGCAAAACTGCTGCAAACGCTTCTGTGGCACTTGGCTGAACTCTGGAGTCACGGAGGGTTTTTGAAGTCTGCTTTCCGCAGTCATTACACGAGGCTCTGTTTGTAATGAAGTTTGCAACTCAAGAAACTTCATTTGGACAAATTTTAGCTCTTCCCCCTCACCCCCCACCCCCCAGAAAAAAAAAAAAAAATCCATTTTATGTTCAGCTGTTAATTGGGAAAGAAATTAGCCTTGGTGATCCTGCAGTCATAGGGTCTGGCTCCACTCGAGGAGCGGGCACAGCTCATGGCCAAGGGTAGATGTGGCACTTGGGGATGTGGGCAGCAGGCGATGGGTTGGGGATGGGCTGGGGTTGGATTTGATCAACTCAGAGCTCTTTGCTACCCTCACAACGTGAGCCGTGCCCACGAGCAGCAGCCACGAGCCATCCCCAAGGGCAGCGACCCAAAGGAGCGGTGCTCTCTGTGCACTGTGCAGGTTTGGGATGCACGATTTTCCCTCCCGTTGTTTGCCCTCCAGCTCAGCAAAATCCTTTTCTGAGGGCGGGTTGTGACTCCGCTAGCAGGAATCCTCTTCTCCCAACCCAGAATAATGGCCCGTCCTGGTCTCCTAGTAACTGCGCTGCCACATCACTTTTGACAATGGTGCATCCTTTGTAGCCTGTTTTTCTGTTCCTGCTGTCTGCTCTGTTTCTTCAAATGGCAATTGTCTGAAATTTCTCCAAATGGGCAACTTTTGTGTGCAGAGGTTTTGTTTGTTTTGTCTGTGCCTTTCTGCAGCCCTTCCTTGCAGCATAAGCTTTAGTGAGATGGCTTTTCTCCCCCTCCCCAAATGCTCATCCTGTTATTTTCTGAAACCGCTCTCTCAAAGCGTTTGAAACTTTCTGTTCTCCGAGCAAAAGTCCTCTCATTGATTATTGCACTAAAAGGCTTTCTTTGCTCGATGTATTTTGGAACTGGCTCCTGCCTGTACGAGTGCACGCGATGGAACTTGGCAGAGGTGTGCCAGCACCCAGCAAACCCAGCTCCGGTCTGGGGAGAAGGAAGGGATTGGACTTGTCGAGGCTGAAGCGTAAAACCTGCTGTGGAAGTAACACCTTGCTAATACATGGGCCACGGTGCTGTTGGCTGAATGGGATTTGTTGGCTTAAGCTGGCCTGGTGCTATGGATACACAGTCTGGGGGCACAAGGGAGGGCTGGGAGGGGGGATGCTGCTTTTGTTTGGTCTTCTCTGTAGGAGCCAAGTGTGAACCTAGAGCATGGATACTCACAGGGGAAGTAGGGAATAGCCATGGGAGGTGCAGAAAAGCTCCATGTACAATCAGTGGCCACTGGACAGGGGGGTGACAGTGGGAAAGTGGAGGGGTCTGAGGCCCAAAATAGGGCCTAATGTCCCTTTACAAGAGAGGTCCAGGTGACGGAGCAGAGCTGAATTTGGACAGGCACAGCCCAGTGGGAGCACAGCAATACCCTGAGCACCCGCCTGCCTCGGGCACAGACTGAATTTGCTGTCAGTAACAACACTTGACCTGCCTCGTTACCACCGTAAAAACTTTATTCTCTCTCCCAAGGACAGCACTGTGAGTTTTTTTCCTTCCAGGTCAGTTAAATGCTACAGTCAGAGCTCGACTCCGCCACCCAACCGCACTCTTCTGCACCCAGAAACCGGCAGCTCCGAGCCCAGCACACACACACACGGGTGGGAGCCCCATGAAACACAGATGAGATGAAGGGGAAACGCATGAATCACACAGCGTCAGGGGAGACACATGAATCACACATTGTGTCAGCGAGATTCGACAGATCCGACCAGGATTCCTCTCTCTGCGGCTCCATCCTTCCCAGTCCCCCAAACCAGTGGGCTGCGGTGGGTTGGCACCCGGGGTGTCTCTCCCTGTCCCACCCCAACGTTCAGCACCAGTGTGGGAAAACGCAGCCCTGTTCCTCCCAGCACCTGGTTGGGGGGAGATGAGGTGGCTGTGCATGGCTGTCCCCCAGCCATGGCGTGCACCAGGTGCCCTTGTCCCTGCCGCGCTCTCCATGCTGTGCCCACCTGCTCCTGCAGCCCTCTGCACCTGGTCCCCCACCTTTTAGGCCCACGTGGCCTAGATCCAGGCAAAAACCCGTTATTGCACTGAGAAACGTGAGTCCTGATTCTGGCTTTATGTCCTATTTTCTGTATCCTACATTCAGACCCCGTACCAATCTCTAAAGACCACGGATCCGGGCCAACTTTAGCAACGCCTTTACCCCCATAGCCCAAATTTCCTCTCCTCTCGACAATTGGAGCTTTTGGGGAAAACTGAAAATCCTCCTCCTTCCTCACTTCCAGGGACCCAGCCTGCTTAAAAACCATCCCCATCCCTCCCCCCCGCCCCCCCCAGCACCCGCTTATCACCGGGACATCCTGAGCACGCATCACCCCGAGGGGAAGTAGGGCACGTCGCTGTGGTAGTTGTAGTCGGGGCAAACCTTCTGCACCAGCCGGTAGTCTATGCTGTAGAAGGTGATGTAGATGCAGATGACTTTGAAGGGCTTGGAGCAGACCCAGGAGACGTGGCTCTGGGTGTGCTCGTGGTAGCAGGTCTTGGATGGGTCGTAGGTGCACAGCGTGGTTTTCTTGGCACGGTCCACTTTCTCGTATTCCACGCGGCAGTTGAAGATTTTGGATTCTTTGGCCTCGATGAAGATCTGCTGCTCCAGGTCGAACTCAACAGCCTTGGTGGGAGGGACAAGGCTGACTGAGATGTTCCCCTGCCCGGTGGAGTTGTGGCGGAAGAAGACATTGACGGTGCCGTTGCCGTGATCCACCACCTTGCCGGTGATCAAGAGGTTTAACTTCACCGTCTTGATGTTGGAATAGAAATCTCCCCAACCAAAAATTTTTTTCAGTTTGCCCGAGGCCGACTCCAAGTCCCTCTGTCCTCGGGGATGTGGAGCGTGATCCCGCTCCGAGAGGTTGTCCAGGATATCCCACAGCTCCCGCGAGCTGCTCACCAGCTCCAGGAGGGTCACGTTCTGCAGCAAGGTTGGGGTGAGCAGGGGTTTGGTGGGGAGCAGCTCTCCGGTCTCCTGAGCTTGGTCTCTCTCCTGGCTCTCAGGCTCACGCTGCTCAGCACCTTTCTCTGGCCCTTCTTGGCCGCAGACCACCTGAACACAGTGATGGCAGAGCGTGAGGGCTTGGCGGTGGGTACCAGCCCCCTGTCTTGTTCTCCAGTCATCCCACCATCTCCAGGTATGGCCCAGCCATCCCCTTTCTTATCCTTGCTCTCCTTATTTCCCTTTTCTTTTGTTTTCCCATTCTGCCACCCTTCCATATCCCCTATTTCTTTTCTGGCAACAATTTTTTCCTTCTCTTGGTTGCTCAGGGAATAGGTGAGGGGAGCTGGGATAGATGCGTTTTCCCCAGTGGGAACTCCTTGGGCAGAGCCATTGCCCCCAGAGTATCCCCAATGGGCAGAAGGTGCACATCAGTGTGCCCTCATGGCTTTTCCACCAGTTTTGAGGCTGACAGCACACTCACAGACCCCTCTTCTGACCTTCAAACCATGCCACAGTCTGATGAAGAGATGGAGCCAGGGGCAGCAGAAGTGAGCGAGAGCCAAATCCTGAGCTTCTCTGCAAACTCCTTTCCATTCCCTACCAGCCTGATGGTATCCGGTAGGGCATCACAGACCCCACACAGGTGCAGGTGGGGGCTGGGAGCTGCCCCGTAGCTGCAGGTAGGTGAGCACCCAGCAGGCAGGTGGGTGCGAGGCAGCTCATCCTTCCTGCCGGGATGCAGATGCTGCAGCCCCATCGCTCCGGGCGAGGGCTGGGGAGAAATGCACCGATGCTCGGGAGTGATCCCGGCGCCGAGTGCCGAGCCGCTCGCTCCCAACGCCGGGGTGCGAAGGGCTCGGTGAGGAGCTGAGCGCGGCCTCGCGAAGGGCAGGAGGTGGCCCCCCAGCCCGGGGATGCTGCGCCAGGAGGAGGCTGCAGCTTTTAGAGGTGATCCGGAGGAATCTCCACTGTCACCCCTCACCTGTGAGGCCCCCCTCTTGCCTGCTGCCCAGCCTCTCCCTGCTGCAAAAGAGCAGAAGTTTTGGGATGCTCGTTTCGGCAAGGGATGGGGTGGGGGGCGATAAAACGATCTGGGGACGCTCCCGGTTGCAAACCCCCGTCCCCCGTCCCCTGAGCTGCCCGACCCCCGTCCTCTGCAGCCCTCTTCTCCCCTTCCCTACCACTCACCAGCAGAGAAATGCTCCCCTGGATCAGGAAGCCGATGCAGCTCCGAGTGAGATGCATTTTCCAGCCGATGCCGCCTGCCTTCGCTGTTCCCTCAAATTTAGTGCGGCTTTGGGTGGGTTTCTGGTGGCTTTTTGGTGTTGGTTTTTTTTTTTTTTTCTTTTTTTCTTTTTTTTTTCCCTCCCTTCTTTTTAAGCGGGAGAGAACGTCAGCCAGGGGAAAGGGAGGGGGTGTCCCCCTTTAGAAGCCGCTTCCTCGATCCCCCCCTTCGCCCATAGGGAGCTCCGGGCGGCGGTACCGGACCGGGGGGGAGGCGGCTCCCGCCGCTGCTTCACCGCTGCCGCCGCTCGCCGCCTTCTCGGGGACCGCCGCAAACTCCGCTCCGTGCCTTCCTCCCCTCCCTTCCTTCCAGGTGCCGGGAGCTGAGCGGCACCTCCGAGCGTAACCCTTTGCTGCCTGGCACCGCGTCCCCAAAGGAGGCCCGGGGGGAGTCCCCAAGGGCAGTGTGGGGATGGGGTGCTGGGAAGTCCCCAAAGGGAAGGATAGGACACGGGGGGGGGGGTGTCCCCAAAGGGCAGCATGGAGATACGGCTGTGGGGGGTCCCCAAAGGGATGGATAGGGCACAGGAGGGGTCTCCAAATGGCAGCACAGAGATGGGGCACAGGGGGATCCCAAAAGGGATGGACAGGAGACAAGGGGAGGTCCCCAAACGGCAGCATGGAGATGAAAGGGGTCCTCAAAATGCTAAATGAGGCACAGGGGGGGGTCCTCAAATGGCAGCGTGGGGTTGAGGCAAAAGGGACTCCCCGAAGGGATGGATAGGGCACAGGGGTTCCCCAAAGGACAGCATGGAGATGGGGTTCTGGGGGGTCCCCAAAAGGCCAAATGGGGTACAGAGGGAGGGTATCCTCAAAAGGCAGCATGGAGATTGGGCACTGCGGTGTCCCCAAAGGGCAGCATGAGCTGGGGCACAAGGGTGTCCCCAAAGGGATGGATGGGGCACGGGGCAGCATGGAGATGGGGCACTGAGGGGTCTCCAGAAGGCCCAATGGTGTGCAGGGGAGCAGTCCTTACATGGCAGTGTGGGGCTGAGGCACAAGGGTGTCCCCAAAGGGACAGATAGGGAACAGGGGGTCCTCAAAGGGCCAGATGAGGCACAGAAGGGTCCCCAAGAGTTGGGTTGGGTGCTGTCAGGCAGTGGGGCCTCCATGGAGAGGGGCATCCCCATATAAAGGGAGCAAAGCAGTGTGCAAAATGTCCAGGGCTGCCTTAGATACTTCTTTATCTTTGCACCAGAAAAGCAGGCAGTATCATAATGCTCCCCTCCACCTTGGGGCTCAGTTTATCTCCATTCCATTCCCTCCACCAGGAAAAAAGCAATAAAAAACTTCTTTTCCCAACAGTCACTCAAAGGAAGACTAGGAAAAAAGAAACAAAAAATAAAATAAAATAAAATAGAATCATCGATTTCCAGAGGTATGAGGGGGTGGTTGGAGGTGAGTCTGTGCAGGAGACTTCTGCCTGTGCAGAATGTGAGGGTTGTGAAGGAAGTTTTTCAGTGGAGTTGTGATTTTTGTTTCTGCATCCGCATGCATTAATTCTGAGTAGAGCTGTTCTCCCCTTCCTTATCCACGGCTGTGCTGAACATTGCTCCTCAGGCTTTGGAAATTAAAAAAGGAACAAGAAAATGTAGATTCTGTTCCCCAAGCCAGGCGGTTCGGCTTGTGTGCTATCCCAGAAGTAAGGGATGGCAGGCTGCGTTGTGCTTAAAAAGGAAACAGAACTCATTGGTTGGCTTTGGTGCGACACAAAGACGGAGCCTTGCTGGTTTGGGTTTGTTTCACTGAAGGGAACAGTTGTCCTTCTCCCGTCTCTCAGCAGAAGTTGCAGTAAGAAGTCACTTGCCAGGGACAGGGCTTGAATGAAACCCAGCATTTCTCAAACCCCAGGCAACGATCGCATTCCTTCCCATCAGATTATCTCCTGTTTCCTGCCCATATTTCCCCCCTCCCTCAACCTCCTCCTCCCCCCTTGCTCTTCTTGAGCCACTTTGGAAAGGCAGGTCTTGCAGTTCTGCTAAAGAGGAGCGAACTGTGGGGACCGGAGCATGCTTGCATGGGGGGGATGCTGTCACTGGGAGCCCTGTGTGCGCTCCCATCTGCACAACAATGCTCTCCAGATTCTGGCTGTGATTGCAGTGCTGGGATCTGGACAGGCAGGCTTCCCTCATGGTTTTGGGGCCGGGAGGAGGAAGGAAGGTGAGTGACAAATTGCACAGCGCCCACTGCCCTCTCCCTGCTCTGAAGGTACCTGCCTGCATTTCTGCCTTTCACCCCCGGACCATCTGGAAGCAGAGTGGGATTACACCTCAGATGGATGCAGCTGAGTTCCATGGAGGCTGAACTGCTTCTTATTGCTGTTGAGCACAAGTCTCTCACTTCCCCCTCCTGCCTCCACGGAGCAGTGCCATTTGGGGGCACAGGAAGACATATCCTCAGTGCTAACAGAGGGACAGGAGCCCCATTCCCAGCTGGCCTGCCCCAAGGAGAGACAATCCCTCCTGGCAGCCAGGGCTCCAAATATCCACCTATCCAGAAGCAGCGCTGGAAGAACCCCGGGGCCTCCTAAAAGCAGAAGGAACACAGCAGTGGAGAATATATGACAGCATAACGTTGTCCCGGCCCCAGTGGTGTGCTGGATACATTTAATGGGCTGCACGTCTCTAACTACCGTGATTTCGATAAAAGATCTTCATAAAACTTCCGAATGCCTGTGCCAACACCTGCCTCTAAATCACTCCAAGAGCTGCAGCTCCTGCATTGTCTCCCTGGAGCTGTTGGCACCGTGAGGTTCCCCCCCTCCAGGTCCCCTTCCAACGGTGCTGGGTGCATCTCACCCGTTGGCTGCTCTGCTTTGGGGTGGGAGAGGTTTTTGGGATGGTGCTGTGCTTGGGCTGTGAGGCTGAGCGGAGGTCAACACGGAGGAAGAACAGGGGATAAAAGTGATTTAAAGCGACTTGCTGGATTTTCAGCTGTTTGGAGGGAGCTGAAGACTGGCATGGCATAAAGCAGGGCTGATTTAGGAGTTGCTCTGCTTGGCTGGTGCTGCAATGGTTCCCAGTGGGGCTGCTCTGATTGTCCATGCGTAGTGGGCGCAGGGCAGGCGCTGCCCCCAGCACAGCTCAGAGATGTGGCCAACCAAAGTGGTTCCTGCACCCCCTGTGCAGAAATGGGACACTGTAGGCAGAACTAAAACCAGAGTGAGCCCACAGCCAGCATTTAGAGCCAGGTGTCCTTTCTAAACACTGGCAAATGGATTCATAGCACTGTACGGCTGGAGTGGCTTAAGGTGGGAGGGGGTCGTGGAAGGGCAGGGTGCTGCTTTCAGCTTGGCAAGAAAACTCCTTTCCTGCTCCTTTTGCCCCAGAGGGGATCCAGGATGGATGGTGTGGGTTTGGAAGGGGCGTCTCGACCCCTTCAGTTGAATTGTGGGAAGGGGATCAGGTTGGATATTAAGAAAAAATTGTTCTTAAAAAGAGTGGTGATGCTTTGGCGTGGAGGTGTGGGAGTCACCATCCCTGGAGGCGTTCAGGAAATGTAGGGATATGGACTGAGGGACACCCCAACAACGGGGTGGGTTGGGTTGGACATGGGGATCCGAGCAGTCTTTTCCAAGCATGATGACTTGACGTTTGTATGCGCTGGTGATGGGGTTTGGTGTGGCTTTGCTCAGCTGGAAGCTCCAAAGCTGCAGCTCCGGAGTGGCTTTTGCCATTAAAAGAAGATCCAGTGGCTGCAGCTGCTCCTCCAGTTCGGTTTCTCCTTACGGAATCGCTCGTCGTTCTGAGCTTGCCGAATTTCGAGAAGCATCTGTTAAACGGGCTGCCACCCGCATCCCAGCCGGGGAAACTCGGAGGCTGCAGCCGCGCTTTTCGGGTGCGATGGGGCCGAGAGCGGATCGCAGGGCCCTCCCTGTGCTGCTCAGTCCGGCTCCGAGCTCCTTTTCCTGGGTTTCTGTTGCCCTCTAGCGGGTTCTGAGCTGAAAATGGGCTGGGGATGGGGGGGGGGATTGGGGTCAGCCGGGCTGGGGGCTCAGCTCTGCCCGACACAGAGCTCCGGGTAAGGGCAGGGAGCAGAAAGAAACGGGCAGAGTCTCTCGAAGCATCCCCGCTCCCTCTGTCGGCTTTCTATTCTTCCTACGGCAGCTTTCTATTGATGCATCTTATTTTTGGAAGCGTTTTTAGGCAGGCATTACCGGCCTCAGCAGAACCAAGGATAGATTGGAAAGATACAGGGGAAAAATAAATAAATAAAAGGCTGTAAAGGACAGAAGGTATTTTTAAGCAGAAAGGGTGGGGTGACACAGAGCACAGATATGAGATGGGAAGGGGGAGAAGCTGCTGCTGGTGCATCGCATTTGGCAGCAGGTAGGATGGGGTCTGCAAGCATCCCTGCGTTGCAGGCAGCAGAGCTGAGGGGCTGGGGGATGATCCTGCAAAACCTGAGCAGCTGCACGTAAAGCAGAATTGTCAGGAATGTGAGTGCTAAAGACTGAAGAAATGGAAAAGGGAAAAAAAAACCAAAACACTTTGAGAATGAAGATGCTCTGAGAGACAGCAAAGAGTGTGAGGTCAGAGAGAGCAGCTTATGCAAAGGCTTGAAAGAAGCAGGGGAGCGTAGCGAGAATGGGAGCCCAGCCTTCAGCCTGACAGCTGGTAGGGGAGGAAGAAAATGAATTCAGGTGCTGATTAAGAGGGACCCACAGCTGAAGATGCTGTGCTTCCACCCGCTGCAGCCCTTTCCCCTTCCAGATGCTCTGGGAGAGAGGCTGCCATCCCTGTTTTGATTTTGCAGCCCTACACCCCGATGTTATTTGGCCACAGCTGTGATGTGAGCTCGGCTCCTCCAGGACACAGCTCAGTGCTCTGCCTCCTCCCGGAGCTGATCTGCCTTCAGCAGGTGGGTGCTGTGTGGGGAGCAGATGGGTGCTGTCTGCACCCAGCAAGGAGAGAAAGGTGGTTCAGGTGTCCTCTGCCCCTTTGTCAGTGGGCAGCAAAAGCATTT